GTTTTAATTTTAAATAAATAGATTTAAGCTTTAGGTGACAAAATTAATTAATTAATTCGACTTTGGGATTTAGTTTGTACACTCTTAATGCATTGGTTACTATTCACGGATTTGCAACCTTCACTGTTTCGTGTTTTTTTAATGAACTCATGTCTAAAACGTGTTTTTCGATTGATTAATTTTTTATTTGGTTACACATTTTCAAGATTTTTGAAGATCAAGTTAACATAGCAGTAATGTTAGCTAATTTTGTTGCAATCGAATTACATTCAAGTGATCGGTTTGCGACTTCAAACTCTCATTTAAAAATGCAAGTTAAATGACTATATGTTGCATTTAATGATAAATTAATAAAATGTTGGCAATTAAAATTGCTCAACTTTATGGAATTGCAGTTTGTTAAGCTATGCTAGTCATACCGTTACTAACAATATTTACTTGTTCATAAATGTAAAAATATACAAAGAAAAACATGGTGGCTCGAAAATTTTCAGGAAGTTTCCCGAAAATAGTTTTTAAGCGACATTTATTTATTTATATCAAATGGCAAGCGTTGTGAAAGTTATCACTAGCCCTTTAGTTGACTTCAGGCTTCATAGAGGGGAAGAAACATCAAAGTGAAACAAGTCGAGAGGGGGAGGGGGAACAGAAGAGAGTTTCAAAGATGTAAAAGAGAGAGACACAAAAATAGAAAAAGGTGAGGTGAGTACTGCGAAAGTAGTCGAATATGATATACAATGGGGTGAGGGTAGTTTGAAGTCAGAAGTCAACTGCCAGTTAATAGACTTTTTTGCCGTATGAGTATACGTTGCCCAGGGTGCACCACGTGAAGGTAAGTCTATCGCACACCCCTTTCTTAAAATTATATTTGTGCAATGAAAGAAATGGCTTCACGTGTGGTTATCTACAATTTCAATAGAATGGCTTTATATTTACTTAAATGAATTCCCATTAGTTTAAAAAATGAATCGATCTCCATATTTTTGTACTAAGACTTTTATGCTATTAAAACGACCTTTTATTTGTGAAATTACTACCTGTTATGTAATCCAGTTATGTTAACCCATACCAATAAAGCTAGAATTGTCGAAAAGATGCGGTAATTTTCCAGGAGACAAGATCTTCTACATAGCTCATCACAGAAGAAAAGGTAATCATATTGTCGCCTAGGTGGTGTGTGCGATAGACTTACCTCCACGTGGTGCATCCTGGTCAACGTATACTTATACGACAAAAAAGTCTATAAACCGGCAATTGACTTCTCACTTCAAACTACCATCACCAAACTGTATGTCATTTTCCACCACTTCCACAATATTCATTATACCTTTTCTCTGAATTTGCGTCCGTCTGTCTCTTACATCTGTGAATCACTCTTCTGTTGCCCCCCCCTCCCCTCCCTCTCGACTTTTTGTGATTTTTCTGTGCCTCCTCTCTATGAAGATTGAAGTCAGCTGAAGGACTAATGATAGCAATTAAAAAGCCTGCCAATTAATTTAAACAAATAATTAATTAATTAATTTTTTTGCCTCATTTTCTCTTCCTCTCCCTCGCTCCCCAAAATTTCCTTCAATGAGGAGCCGAATGTATTTGACAGCAGTGCTGTACATTTTAAGTTATTGGTGATCAAAGTGTTTGCAAAATACAGAAATCCTACGTAAACATTAGAATGGCAAAAAACGAGGGGGGGGGGGGGGGAGGGGTCCTGCATTACACTGATTTAACCAAAGTCTCTTCAAGTGTGACTGATTTTATTGGCTATTTTAGTCGCGATAGACCGCTTGAACCGAGAACTTCATTGACGTCTTGATTTGTCATCCTTGCCCATGATTTTGTGCAAGCTTTCCTTCCGATCCACTGTTTTTTTCAGTATCAACCTTATTATTATGGGGGTCTAACCGATATCTAGGAGTAGATTTGAAATATTATCTTGTCTGATATTTGTGAAGGCTTCAGGGATGTTGTGAATTAGAGCCTCTTTCATTCACTATCCTACGCAAATTAATTTGCACTTTCAGACATTTGAAAGGGTCTAATAGTTGAATGCGGCTACTTCCAACAGATAGTCACTTTAAATTCCATTTCACCTCTTCTCTCAACTGCACGGTTTTATCACTGGTCATCAACCTATCGTACTTAGTTTTCACCAGTAACAGTTTCTCCGCTATCAGACAATTATTGTGGCTAACTAAGATGATCCATTTACTCAGGATTTTATGACCTACCATTTGACCAAATCAGCTGGCGAGCCAGCTCTAGACATCCAGGACACGACCCAATTCAAGAGCCATATAGTCAAATGAGGAAACTTGAAGTTGAAATATTGAGGGAGTTCAAACGTTGGCAACCCAATACATCCAAAAAACGAACAAAGCTGGACACTCAATGCCTTGTCTTTATTATCTACTCCCAGAGGAATTTTTGATCTAGTCACCGGTTTTTGCCGCGCCTTTGCTTTCAATCTCATGGAAAGAATTATTCAAAATCAACCAGTTGGCCACCCCACATCATTGTGCGTTGACAACGATCGATCAAGCGATCTCTGTCTCCTCACAGTTGCTCGTTTAGCACAGATCCACTCCTGAGTACTGGTTACTTCTTTTTACTATTCCTTCGGTGGCTGATTGATGATGATGTCAACAAAAGCGCAAAAAATCGTCTTTCAGAACCGAGTTTTTAGACATGCGTAAAATTGAAAATACTATTGAAATTCGGTTGAAGGTTAATTGACTGCCATTCCATGGGGTGAAATTAATATTATCTTGCATAATTTTGCTCTCATTTTAAACCTTATGAAATAATTGCATTTTCCTTCAACAAATTTACTGCCAATGGCGAAAAAAAGCAGACATAGAGGGAACCCCCCCCCCCCCTCCTTTGGGTGTCAATTAGAATTTGGCGAGAGAAATTGGTCTTGAAATGGGTTTGGAAAATTGATGGATTTAATTGTCAAAAATGAAAATTTTGGGCTCTCATTTTGGATAACCTTGAGAAATTTTCATTTCATGTTGATTGAATTGTCTGAATTCGGCATATTTTTTCTCCAACTTGAAAATTGAACCTTTAAAAAGGTAGCTGACTTGGGCAACCACTCTGATGAAAAACATGGTCTTCCCCATCCCTTCTTGTTGATCACAATCAAACAGAATTAAATACCCCAACCACCAAGGAATGTTTGACCTTGTACTCACCCAGACTTGGTAAATGTGTCTCATTTCACCACTTCAATTCAATGGGCGTTGTTGGTATCATCATTTTTCACTTCTCCATAACGTATTTATTTTTCCTCTTAAGAAAGTGCTTTACTCTAACTCATTATGACATTGCTCTTCTCAACTTCACACAATTGAAAGAAAACAGAGAGAGAGAGAGAGAAAGCATTTCGGAAGAGTAGTCAATGTAGGTAGATTCTACAAACAAAGCTCAAGATGCTTTCATAGGACAAACCAATGGCGCCAAAAGTCACACCTTGCTTACCTGTCAGGTTATGTTTATCAAACATGCTCAGGAGGACTAGAACGGCATTCATCATTATTTGCATAAGGGGAATGGAAGCGAGGAGTTGGGACAAAGCAAACTTGACGGGAGGCATGGGAAGGAGAAAGGGGGAGGGGTGGGGAGGGGAGGGGAAGGGGAATTAGGAACTCGCTAGGCTATTCACTCTTTGTCCACAATTAGATAAATGAGGAAGATTCAACTGATAACGTGTTTTTCCACTTATTCATGCTTGAACAAGTGATCTTATCTCGACTAATTTAATGTCATTTTGACTATAATGGAACTTATCTAAGCATGTCTAATAAGCGAGGCTGATTTGTGTTCATTTTAAAAAGGATAAAATAAGTCGAAGATGTAGAAATTCATCAAACTTATGATTACTTAAAGTGAAATATATGCGGTTTGTCGATACTAATCTGTAATCGGTTTAGGATGGAGCTTAACAAAAGAAAAAGCTGAGAAATTACTCCTATTTGAATGTTTTAAATATTACATTTCTTGTGACAACACTTATCACGAGAGTGATAAGAAAATGTAACTTCACGAAAAATTTTTAAGCAAAAGTTTAAAATTTTTCAATGCATGTCACTCATGGGGGCATGACTTCAGAAAGTCGCATAGAAATGAAATTTCAACCAATTTCTTCATGTTGGCGTAATTCAACTTAAGCGAATATATTCTGGTTGACACCTCAGAATTAAAACTCCCAAGCTCCCCCCACCTCCCAAAAAAGACAAAACTGTTGGAAATGTTTAATTTGAGTAGGGAGAACTGTATTCTGAAGGTGTTGCTATGGCAACCTTGCGGTCTAACATCCCTCTTGTTGACTTAAATTCACTGGCACTCACGTTATCGAGCTACGAATTTGTGACCGCCAGTCTCGCAGACATTAACGAAGACTTATTCATATGAATGAAGTCAACACCAGTATAAATCTTCTGCATAGGTTTCCCTCTTTCGCAAAAAATAGCCCAATTCTCCCCTTGCCAATTATACCTAATTCACATGCTTTGATGTGATGAAGCTCGGCGCCTGCCACACTTAAAAGAAATTAATGACATTCATTTAAAGGCTCATCTAATTAGAAACTCCATGTAAAGGCACAACTACTCTGCAGTTTAGTAAGTAGTATTGAAACAATAATTATCTGAGTCTGAATAAGTAAAGACCATAACGCTTGTGTTAGTAGCTGTATTAAATACGATTAGACACAAAGGAGCAAAATAGATAGACTATGTGGCAAATCATTAATAGTAAATGTGGTGGGAATACGCTTGTTTTCAGTTGATAAGAGCATCTGTCGTTTTCATACAACCTTCCCACTACTAGGCAAGATTTCGTCTGTCCAGGGCCGCATACATCTGTGATTGGCCGGCATCGGCGATGTTAGGATATTAACCATTGGATATAAACTTGCGTATCACATTGCTTGTGCGTCGATTTCACGTGAACCAATTAAATAGGTTGCGTGAGCGCGTGACAACTGTCCCATAGTTAGCCGCATACCGATTGGCTTCAAGAAACTGCGTGCTCTCACACATGTACGCACTCACGGGCTTTGTGTACGCAAATGCACATATATTCTTGCACATGCGGATCGAGGTTATTTTCTTGATCTAAGAGCTAGACAGACAAGAAAAACGTTGATAAGCACCGAGTCAACCGTCTCAGACACCTTGTCGCAACTTCTACCCTGCTTCTATTACATTGAAAGTAAGTCACACCATCTGTTGGTCCATTTCTTGAGTAAATAAAGACGTTTGCTAGGATTTTATTGCTCTTCATCATTATCTTTTTACCTTGAGAGGGTTAATACATTTTAGTACTTGGCAGAAGAAACACAGATGCGGGTGAAGGCAATTATTGATGATTGACTTTCTGTTCAGTTGTCAAAAGCTCGTGACTTCCATTGTTTGTAGGAGATAACACTCGATATTGAGTGTGGTTAGCTCTACTCTAGACACCCCTGCTTGATGTAGGCGTTTTGAGGGCTACAGGCTTTATTCTGAAGCATTATTGCTGGTTATGTAATACGTAGGCAACGGGGTCTCTTTATTTTCACTGAAAAATGCGGATTTATTAGAGAGCACCAATTGTGTTTTTGAGCTGTGTGCTCTCTCTCGTGAGTATCACTGCGCCCCCACTCAAATATATTTCTGACCCACTTAATTCGCCTTTGGTTTGTTGTGTGGTACTTGCGTGTACCCTAGTATCTTCACCTTCCGGTTTACCTTCCTCTCAGGCATTAACCATTGCTTCTTTCTGCCATCTTGCCAGAAATCAAAATCAGAGATGAGTGGAGATTCAACTGCTAGCCTGCTGATGGGATCTTTACCTCCGTGGTCAAGAGCTTTACAGGCCATACCACCACCACCTCCTCCTCCCCCCTTCGATATGACCCATTGTTCAACGGGGAATTTCTCCCAATCCGTTACATGGGTTGGTGGTGGGCGGGAATGGTTCCACTCAGCGTTCGATCCTGTTCTGCCCAGGATCTCCGCAATCAATCGATCCATTCCTACTCAACATCAACAACCGCATCCACAAATGGCCTCCACCATGACCCAGCCACAACAACAAATTACTGAACTCTGTTCGGCGATGGAAAATGTTGTGCGAGTTTCAATGGCTCAGAGTCCTGATGGAAGCTTGGATCTCTCCAAGAAAACTGTGAGTAATTGCCACCGTCTCTTTATGTTTAACTCGTAATCAATAAGGGAAAATAGTCATCTGTAATAATAAGGCAAACATTCATCATTTTTTGCGCTTTATAAATTTCCCTTGTGGCAAATTGTATTAATTATGGGGCTCAAAATAACAACACTATTTAAATATCTTGTTTTAATTATATTATTTTTGTTCCATAAAGTTTATTGACTTTTTTTAAAGCTTTAAAAAAAGTATATACTTTCTTTGTTGTGCTGGACGGAATGTAGAATACATTGGTAGAAAATCGATAATGGTGTGTGTATTTATTTATTTATCAATCTTGATAAATCACTTATAAAATTACTAACGAAGTGGAATTAGTAAAGTAAGGGCGTGGCAACTAATCCGATATGACTAATAAGAGCTCAGATTTTGAAATTGAAATAAACGAAAATGCAGTTAGTTTCTACCACATCTAGTTTCCAAATGGAATTGCGGATGTTAAAGCGAATGCGTGTTTACAAAAAAAGTTCTCAATTTTATGAAATAATAGTGCTGTATCCTATTGATTACTGATTGGGTTTCTGGCGGAGAAGTTTTCCGGAAGTTCTGCTGCATGCGTTTATACGCTGGCTTTTCAGTGAATTCACGCTTGAGAAGCAGGGTTGGGGAGGGGGGGG